TTTCTTGATTAACTAGATCGAAGCTGTATTATTAGTGTTATTAAATATAAACGTTAATATATCTTTTCATTCCGTGATTAGTATCACGAGATTTTGAGCAACAAAAGATCTATCCATTACCAGTCATTCGCGGCATGGTATTTAAATGAGACAGACTCTCTACCTTTTCAATACGAAAGGCTTTGGACGATAGCAAAGGAGTATCTGGTGTCACGTCCAAAACCTTTCGTGTTATAAACGTAGAGCGTTTAGAATAACATTGGCGCATACTGAAAATGACATTTAAAAATGTCTAGAAAGATGTTTTATTCATTTTAGAGATTCGAAGATAAGGCGGTCGTCTTCTCGCTCAGAGAGACGAAAATCTCACGAAAGAAGTCACCATGGGCGAAGCAGGTCGAAGGTACTGACTTGATGCTGTTTAAGCAATGGTTCCTTGGTTTTTTACATGTGCTTGTTTGCAGAGAGTGGAATCCGGGTCCAAAGAGTCGAAGGAAAAGGAAAAAGTGAAAGACAAAGAGATAGAAAAAGGAAAGCGCAGCGAGAAGCCTCAAAAACCTATGAAAGATTCATCAAGGCGCACAAAAACATCAGAAGAGTCATCATCCGATGCGAAACCGACTATTGAAGACACGACTCAGGAGGAGCAGGTCACTCATACGCCTGAGTCCCAGTTACCTCCTCTTTCTCTGCCAACTCCCTCACTTCCCTCTGCTCCCACAGAGGAGGCTTCTTCCCCTTCCGTGTCAGAAACGATTGAGCAATCATCAGATGCTTTTCCATCTCCAACTCCTTTGTCTACCGAACCGCCTCTCTCAGCTACGACTAGGTGAATGAATATGTCATATATGTTTCTGTCATTTTAATAATTCGTTGTAACTGCTGGTCTTCAGTGCTGTGGAAGTCAAGGAAGAAAACCAGAAAGTTGAACCATCGACGACAGTTTTGCTTTCGACCGACACATCCAAAACAGCAGAGAGCGATGAAAGCGTTTTAAAAAGTAGGAAGACTGAAAAGTCCACTCGTTCACCAACGAAAAGGGCATCGAAAAAAGAACAGGCGATCAAACAGACAGAAATGAAGAGCAGACGACGCTCTGCCAGAGCAAAATCACGCAGTCCCTCGTCGAGTCCAACAAAAAGTCCTTTGAAAATGGAGCTAAGACGAAGCAAACGGCACCGCAACAGAAGCGGCGAGATCAGGTCAGAAAATCTTGCCGTTTCTTTCGTTTTACACTTCCAAACATTTTAAACTCTATACTTCATGTTCTACCTTTGTCTCATCATTTGTAACATATTTCACCTAGACAGCCTGTCGCTATGCTATGGCTATAACCAAACAGACATGAAGGAACGGCGCTATGACAATAACCCACCTACTTTCCCTCGATTACATGTACTAATTGGAACGACGTTGAACTAGAATCTGACTTCTTAATTACCAGAAAAATCACCCAGCACGTTTTCCACATATATTAAGTACTTCCCATCCTTAAAAATTGAAGCATCCGTTATGTCTTATGATGGACAATGTTAGTTTAGCTGTATAAGGACCTACTGAAGTATTAAATCACTCGTTTTGTTGTACAACAGTTACTATGGCTGCACTATAAACATGCGAAGTTTAGTAAGCAGAATAAGCAACCGTATCATCATCATCATCATCATCATCATCTTCCTTCGCCGCTTCTCCTTTCGGGTCGCGGAGGCAGACACGTCAGACAACGTTTCCGATCCTGTGCCAGAGTCTAAGCTTCGGCAAAAGACAAATGGAGTCTCAAACAGACTCCTTCCATATGTTTGCACCAGGTTAATCTTGGCCGTCCCCTGGGCCTTTTTCCGGTATGATTTGCAAGGAACAGTTCCTTAGCCTTCCTTTCTGGAGGCATTCGCAACACATGCTCAAGCCATCGCAGCTGTGACTTCTCAATCTCGAGAAGCAAGGGCTGTATTGCAAGGCTCTTCCGGATGTCACTATTCCGGACCATGTCGAGAAGCGTAAGGCCAGCGACTCGTCTAAGAAAGTCCATTTCAGCAGCTTGTACCCGGGTTCTAAGTTTCTCAGTGATGGTCCACAATTCATGACCGTAGGTAAGTATGGGGATAAAGATCGAATATTCAGAGCTTAGTTTTCAGACTGAGTTCTGTTTTAGTCACAATGGGTCGGGCTAGTTCACGCAGAACGCCACTGGCTACACCAATTCGCCGGTCGA